TTCTTTAGTTTCTTCTAATCTGTAAGTAACGCTATCCCCCTGCCTTTTTTGTCTGTTTTAATGACATTTAATTTTGTGTGAACCCAGGCTGTCTTATAGAATGTCCCGCATACTGGATTTGTCTGATCGTTTCCTCATGATGAGATCCTGTTTAAATGCTTCTGTTGAGAATATCTGCTGGGATGGCGAGAAAGTCCTCCCTGACAGCTAAGCAGAACTGTGCCTCACCCTGCACTCCGCACATAGGACATTAAAGGGTCAGAAGGTACTGCCCCAGGGAAGAGAGAGACTATCTAGACATATTGGTAAACCTCAAACTGTCACACGAAAGAATGGAAAGGGGAAATTTTGAGGACAACATCTATACGGGGGCCACCACATGACGGGAAATGCAGGGTGAGGGCTGGGGTCCCTCGGCAGCCCAGGGGTTTGAGGGCGGAACCCTCGGTGGAGGTCAAGGTCATGGTTCTACGACAGGCATGATGCCACAGTCCAGCTTCCTTTTGTTTCCGTCTTTCCTCTTTTGTGTAACTGAACAGAGGAATCCACGGTCTTAGCTTTTCCAGAGTTGATTCTGACAGTTTGGGGAAAAAACAAGCAAATATTTTCAGTTTTGTGGTTGAGACTCATCTTTTGAGAGATGTGGAATGACTTCCTTTTGGTTTAAGACTTTGTAGAAAAACAACAAAAATGGCCACTGTCTTTCTTGGTCACTTCTAGAGCTTCCAGATTATAGTACTGGCCAGTATTTATTGAGCCTTTTTATGTGCTAGGCACCGTGTTGCGTCCTTCATGTCCTTCAGAGGTTACCATTCACCCTCTGATACAGGTGCCACCACAGCTCTCACTGGCCAGGTGAGGAAACTGAGGCTTGCGGAGCTTAAGTAGCTTGTCTGAGGAAACTTGGTTGGTACGTAGTGGGGTTAATATTCAAAGCTAGGCCCAAGTGACCCAAAGCCTGCCCACTTAAATAACTTGGAGAGGCAGAGCAGAGAAGCCAGATGGCCCTGCTCTTCTGTCACTGTTTGGTGTGCCCTACACCTCTTTCCCAAGGGCAGTCCTCCCCATAGCCTCTGTCCTGGCCTGGGTGTCACCCACCTCTGCCAGAGTGTTGACCCAGGCTGGCTGATGGAGGAATTCTTAGCTCTGAAGAGCTACAAGGTAGGGCCTATCAGAAACACCTTCTTCTGAGATTTGGGTGTAAAAAATGTAAGCTTAGAGCTCTAGAAGGCCATCTGCCCTGGAGAAAGCCTGAGAGAATAAAACTCAAAACAGATGGAGAGAGAGAGGCAGAATCTTGAGGACAGACTCTGAGCCGCTGGATCCAGACCCTCCTGAAGTCAATCAGTTCCCTCTTGGACTCCCTGTCACTGAGGGAGATTCTGTCCCTTGCCATGAAAACCCAACTGCCTACAACAGAAGCGGCTGATATCCAAAGTGCTCTCAGAACATAACCGATCAGGTCTCCAAAGTAGGTCTGGGCTGCGTCCCACTGGGAGAAGAGGGCAGCCTCCTGTCCCACCTGCTCGCGTGTCTGCCATCCAAAGTGCTCTCAGAACATAACCGATCAGGTCTCCAAAGTAGGTCTGGGCTGCGTCCCACCGGGAGAAGAGGGCAGCCTCCTGTCCCACCTGCTTGCGTGTCTGCCGGAGCAATTAATTCCGTGGCTCCAGAAGTTCTGAACGAAGCTGGCACTCACGAGGGCACACACACATCTGCTGACTCCTGCCTTCAACCCTTTCTCCAGACACCATCATGGGTCACGTTCCCCCCCACTGCACCTTTAAGTAGTTTCTGCATCCTTGAAGAGAGATCACCAGCTGACCAAACTGATGGGTAAAACCTTCCCTCCCATCCTCTCCTGGCTGTGAGATAATATAACTCTCGCCTTTCTGCTCCCTAGAGCATTTGGCCGGCCCCAGGGCCCTGCCCACTGGGCTTCCAGAGTCTTCTCTCCCTGGAAGGACACCCCACACAACCAGAAATTGGCAGAGAGGAAATAGGCAAATAGATATAAGAAATCCACCCAACGAGCCCTATCAGGTGAAGCAACTCTGGCGATAAAGCAGCTGAGCACCGTTCCGGCTGGACCAACACCACGTCCTGCTTCCAGCAAGTTTCTCAACGGGAAATCAAAACTGAGCAGACCCTCCCCTGCCTCTACCTTGTAAGCCCTGTAAGATGTGTTCTAACATCAGAGAGTAAGAAGTAGGTGAAGATCAAATAGTCAGTGGCAAAGGGGGAGGTCTTAGGGACGCATACATTGTTCATTTACTCAGGGGATAATTAAATACCAAGTTGAACCACTTACGCACTCCTGGATCCTCGGGGCCTGAGCAAAGTACTGTCCCATCAACAACCACGTGTGGAGTCCCCTGGAAATATCAAACCTACGCAGTCTCTGAGCTTCTTGGTGCTTTGAGAAAACGACCTAAATATGGTGATTAATAATCTCTAAGTGATTGTCACAGTGATATTAATAGTGCTTAAGGGAGCTCTTGCTGTATGTAGAACATTTCATCACTGTTGCTGAAAAAGTCCATGTTTAGTGCTGAAATCTGATTATTTTCATGACATCAGCATTATCATAAATCCTTAGTATTAGGAATTTGCTTTCCAAATTAAACCCTACGACCAAGCAATCATCTGAAAGCTACGTGCAAAAGACACAGGATTGACCCTTGGCGGACCTCCTTCATATTCTTGCCTGTTTGAGCAGGGTTCCTTGGAAGGAGGAATTGGGGTGCCAGGGCAGGGCTGTGTGCTCTGCATGGCAAAAGGGCCCACTGACGATGGTCATGGCCTTCGTGGCCAGGCCCCAGGTTCTGGGCCAAACAGGAAATGACCAATTATTAGAATGAGAGAACATTCAGGTTTAGCCTCTTTCCTATGCCTTCAGGGAGGGATGGGTTGTGATCTCATCATGAAAACTCAAAAGAAAATCATCCATCTAAAGAAAATCATCCTCATGTTTCCATTATAATTGCTGAGTCCCCAAGCCCGTGACTACTGGGGTACATGCATGTCATGGGATGCTGTGTGGAAATAAAAGTGACATGGTAGATCATAATGGTCATCCCAAAGTGGTGCGGTATTGGGACAATGTGCTGTGTCCTTTATGCTTCTCTGTATTGTCGAGATGTTTACAATGAGCATATTTCACTTACTAATTAGAGGAAATAATAGGGCAATTTTCATTTCAAAAAAAATGGCTAGGTGATCCATGTTTTAATCTTTAATATTTACCACATTCAATGAGACGTGGAATGACAGGCTTTAAACAGAGCTGCTGACTCTGCTCTGTCTGACTGGAGAGTAAGTTTTCTATCACCTGTAAGTCCCAGTTTGTAGGGCACTGAGGATCTGCCGAAAGCTCAGACAATGACATGGAGTCTCCCAGGCTCCCCTTTAATAGACCATTTTCAGATACGGAGTATCTTAGGCCCTCTGTCGGCTTGAAGTTGTGGGAATGGCCCTGATGCTGGTCACAGAAATGTGACTTGCCTCTTCTATCCATGTTTTCTCTGGTTTCCCCTCGGCTGCCCTCTCTCTCTCTCTCTGTCTCTCTCTGTCTCTGTCTCTCTCTCTCTCTCTTTCTCCCTCCCTCCACCGTATGCTTCTCTGCCTTATTTCTTCCAGCTCTCAGCTTAGCAAGGCAGCCAAAGAACAGAAAATAAAACAGCAATTTCAAATCATTACTTCAAATCACATTTGCAAGGCCTCCATCCCTACCTAATGCCACAGACTGGCAGGGATTCGCTGCCAGAGGAAGCCAGACAAAATCTCCCTAAAGATGATTATGCGGCTCCACCCACCCTCCTGGAAGGTCACTGCGAAAGCAGCACAGTACTGAGGATTAACAAGAGAATCACCCAAAGTCCAGAGCTCTACAGAGATCAAGGCTTCTATTTCTCTGCGGCAGAGCTTCGGGGTGTGTACTTGGGGGTGCTCCAGGCACCTGGAGGGACAAAGGGCTCAGACAGTTGTCCTGAAGCTTCTGGAGTTCTCACAATTCAAAGAAGTGCTCATCTGTGCCTGCTGATCCAGCCTTCACCTGCCCTCCTAACCTCCTCCTCCTTTTTCCCACCACAGAACCCCCAATGCTCAGGAGCACAGACCTTCCTTTTTTTAAATTTATTTTTTGAATTGAAAAATAATTGATTATCCACATTTATGGGGTACAGAGATATGGATGGAAGTTGGCGTCCCCACCCCCTCACATGCCCAAACTCCAGCTCTGCCAGGATGGCACCTAGTTTTCTACAAGGCTTACCTAAGACACCCTTTCTTCTTGAAAGAGCCTCACTGCCCCACGTGCCAAGCCTGGCTGAATTACTCCCCTCCGTACCTCCCAGGCCCTGGGTGTACCCATACTTAGCACTGACCACACCGTGAGGCAGCCTGGCACTCCCTCGGCCAGTGAGCTCTCCGACAGCAGGACGCCGTCCCAGCATCCACCTTGCTGCTGGCCCAAATGGGTGCTCATTTCAGGCTTGTTGGGTTAATGCGATCACCTGGCCATGACCATAAGTGACAGGAACTTGAAGAATCCAAGTTGTGGGATTGTGATGAAAAGCACCCTTGAAGGGGGGTGCTGGAAAAATGCTGTTTGGGGATGACAATGGCAGGTGCCCAGGTAGCCTGTCACCCTAGACTCTTCCCTAGGGCTGCTTTCTCCCAATTTACAATCACCTCTTTCCTAGCTGGCTGCTTCTGCACTGGAAGAATGAACACCCATAACTGTAGAGCTATAGATGGACGGTTCCCCAGGGATGCCAGAGCTGTTTCCTGCTTCCGAGGGGAAGAAAGGAATCTTTTCCAAGGAATGGGAAATAGATGGGTGTCCTATCAAAAGGTCAGAAAAAGATATTCAGATGGAGTGTCACTCTCGGAAGTCCAAAAAGATCCACACAGTTCCCTCCACATCATTCCTCATAGTAATAGAACCTTCTTCAAGTGCTGGTGTCAGAGAATAAAACCCCATAATTTGTGACGTGGGGCTGAGATAGGGAGAGACTCCACACCATGTTAAAGAGTATGGATGGTTCCACATAACTCCATCTCTACTGGAAAAAAATGTCTTCAGGGCAAGACCCTGTGCTTGGCGCTGGGTACTTACTGATTCTACCTAAAAAATACAGTTTAGTGCAGCAAATATGATATAGGTAAATACTCTGAGATAGGGAGAGACTCCACACCATGTTAAAGAGTATGGATGGTTCCACATAACTCCATCCCTACTGGAAAAAAAATGTCTTCAGGGCAAGACCCTGTGCTTGGCGCTGGGTACTTACTGATTCTACCTAAAAAATACAGTTTAGTGCAGCAAATATGATATAGGTCAATACCGGTGATGCTAGCTCTGTCGATCATTTAAACTTGGAGAGTAACATGAGTCTATTGCACAAATGAGCCATAAAAAGGTAGAGATCAAGGTTATCGTAGCTCAGAGGAAAATATGGAAAATAACAATATTGACTATATATGAATAATATCACATTATTACCAATAAATAGAGGACTGAGAAATTCTTACCCCAGGATAAGGAAAAGTAAAGGGCGACAAGACACCCTAAAAGACTCCAGTGGTACTGGGTCCTCTTTTTCTTTCTAATGAGGTTCATAGAAAGTGAGTTTTACCTCCTCGCATTCACATCAGTGAATAGTTGGGGAGGGGAAACCAGTTTGGAATGAAAACAAAACAGAAGAGACAAAGAACAAACATTAACACCCAAAAAGAAGAGCCATGGCTGGCTGAATTTGTTGGACATGTCGGGTCCAGGGAGCTGGGTCCCAGCCTCTGTCACAAGGAGAATGACGCTGAATCCAAGCCCTCAAGCATGCAGGTACCTGGATGACAAATCACAGAACACAGACGCGCCCCCTTTTTAATCATTTATCAGACATATTAAGGCCAACCAAAGAGGAAACGGAACATTCGAAGTCAGCTCCTTCAAGTATAATTTCCAAGAAGAGAAATTTATGACCTGTACTTACTCTCCATTAGAGCACGTCTAACCTCTTTTATTAGTTTATTCATCAAGACAGCCCTGGGTTTCAGGCCAGCTCCGCACACAGGCAGGTCATCAGGAGAGGGATCCTCTGGGGCATTTTCCTCCCGGTCCAGTTGTGTTTTCCAAATCATCACACAGTTAACGGGAGTAGGCATGGTGCATTCGGCAGGAGGGTTTTAGGTTTTCCCCAAAAGGCAATTCACAGAGCAAGCCCCAGGGGCTCTATGGATATAATGTGAACATCTGAAATGTACTTGGAAATGAAACGGTTCTGTGTTTGCTGTATGGGGTTTGTGATTGCCTCTCAAAGAGCATCGCTTCTATTGCCTTTACGACCGGGTTCAATTTCTTATTTAGTGATGTAATAAAGGGACGATTTAGACCAGGCTGCGAGGACTTCCCAATCAGTGAGCACTCCTATGCCTCACCCGCCGCTCACCTCTCCCCATGACACCATGGCTCATCTTTGAGCAACCCCACTGGGTTCTCAGGTATCAGCCACGGGTCCTTCAAAATTGTCGCTACCTCCCATGCCCCGGCACAGCTGCTCCTGTGTTTACCACGCAGTTCCCCAGCCCTGCAGAAGGGAGCAGCCCACACCTTCCTCTGGGTTTCTTCCCATCTCTGTGTCAGATCACTCTTTCTGCAAATAATACAACTCTAATTTTATTATGATGAAAGCAAACACACCTGATATTTACAATGTGGCCTTGGGGACTCAAATGAGGAAAAATATGAGAAAGAACATCTTACCTTGTTTTAAGGATATTCAGAAACTGCAAAATTTCTGAAAACTGTATCAGTCTGAGAGCTCTTAAAAATCTCAAACCTGGAAAGAGAAATGAAATAAAGATGCATTATTTTCAATGCGTGGTTTTCATGATCACAGTCTGACGTTTGATTTACAGCTGCCCAGAGTTGAAGGGATATGAAGATCTTGCAGAAGACAAACCATCCGGTACCTTGGACATGTTCCTTCATTCTGATTCTTGACTGGTTTAATCTGACCTGGTAAACTGAGTTTTTCATTAAAAGTGGCTTGTTTGGAAGCACTTTAGAAGAAGGGCTAGTGGGGAGGGCATCTGTTAATGAGGCTTCTCACTTGGCAATCTCTGATTTAAAGCACTGTTTCTAAGTCACCTCGTTGACTGGCAGGATTTTGTCTCTGAAAAATACCAGGAATTGTGATAGCTCAGGGTAACCCTTGTGCTAAGAGCAGATTAACAATAAATCGGATAACCCTATGTCTTTGATGGGTTTTTTTTTTATCTGTATCTTCAGCCCCAATAAAATAGAGTACGGCCCACAACATCATCTGTTTTCTATAAGGTTCTATATTTTTTTATACCAAAAACAAAACAAAAACAAAAAACATCCAGATCAGTAAAATATCACATCCCACAACTTCAGGATTCAAAACTTATATAATTCCACTTTTACTAAGTGTCAAGAAGAGTGTTTGTCCTTTCTAAAGCAGCACTCTCTTGAATGGGAGAGTCAGTACGTCTAGGTGGCAGAAGAAAGAGAGAAGGAAAACACAGTCATGGATTTTCTAAAAATACAAATTTTTATTGTGTTTTAATAGCCAAGGGTAAACAACATTTCCATTGAGGTCAAATTCATGAGTCAAAACCATTCTGAGCCAGCCTTAGACTTCACCGCCTTGTCCCTCATGCTGCAGAGCTACAGTGGCCCTTCGTGTCCGCAGTCCAGCATCCATGGATTCAACCAACCATGGACCAAAAATGTTTGGGAAAAATAAATAAAAAATAGCAATGCAACAATAAAAAGTAATACAGTATAACAGCTATTCACGTAACATTTATATTGTATTAGGTATTATAAGTAGTCTAAGATGATTTAAAGTACACGGGAGGATGTGTGTGGGTTATATGCAAATATGCCATTTTATATCAGGGACTTCAGCATCTGGAGATTTTGTTATGGGGTTGGGGGGCGGCCTGGAGCCAATCCCCCACGGATACCCAGGGAAGACTGTAATTATGAAATGCTGAGTATCACAACTTTGAGACATTGAATATAACACCCACTCCCAAGGGGATTTCTGTTTGCATATTTTCTGAAAGCATTTAATTAAGCACCACCAGGTGCCAAATGCAGTACTGAGCACCACGTGGACTGAGCTGACTGACAGCTCCAAGCCAGCGGGTGAGACTTTCTTCCACCTGCATATGGGAGGCAGGAAAGGGAAGGGGAAGGCACACGGGTGGGAAGCAGCGGTGGCGATTCACCAGCAGCCCGGGATGAACTCTTACTATCTTTCACTTCAACAAGGAGCGCTCTAACTGGGCCCAGTGTGGAGCTGTTTAGGTAAAAGGATATTTAACGTAAAGCCCATAAGGGAAAAAAAAAATCTGGCTGTACAAGGAAACAAAGAAAGAGGGAGAAAAGGATACTGGCTCAAAAGGAATATTTCTCATTATAAAGGATTTGCCTTCGTGAACAGATTTATTTCAGAAAGCATTTGCCTTCTATGCTAAATAATATTTATGTCACTTTTATTAAACAAGAAAATGCAGAGATGAGAAAGGATGTTGATGAGATGAAAAGGCTCAGGAGCCAAAAACACAGTCATAAACAAACTGATGAAAGGTTGACTTCACCCTGCTGAGCACTGAACTTAATGCAGACAACAAAACCGAGTAGTCTCAGAAAGCACAGAAAGTAAGGAAAAGGGAGAAAGAAAAGAGGAAGCAAAGAAAATAGAATGGAGTGAAGATCACAGAGATCCAAACTGTGAATAAAATGTGCTCCAAAGGGAAGTACAAACAACACATAGATCATAAGCAATGGCCAGAACGTAATAGAAGAGAACTTCATGGTTACAAAAAAAAAAATGACTTTAGATTAAAAGGTAAAATGAATGACCAGCTCTTAGAGGCCAATGCCAGGAAGGACCTGGCTCTTTTTTCCTTCAAACTTCAAGTACTAAAATCAAATTAAACAATAAAAATAAAGCATTAGTGTTGGGTGGAGGGTTTACCATTAATGTGACTAAGATCCTTTCATTTAATAATAAGTGTTAAACAATTGGGAAATACTCAGAATTTTCAGCCAGAGTTGAACGCAGGATTTTTATACTCAGGCAGTGGTTGTTCAAGAGTAAAGGCAACAAAAACAACATTTTCAAATATATAAGTACTCAAAAAATAAATCGTTTGCTCAGTTTGTGCAAAAACTGTCAGAGAGGTTCAGAAGACTTACTAAGTCAGAATGGGGTGCAAGTGCTGGGAAGTAAATTTTTAACAGACTCTACTGTAGGTGCTGAGCATCAGCCCAACCTAGAACGTTTGGTCTTACAACCACCAGCACCACTGTCACATGGTGCTGTGAGATAAAATAACAAATTTAGAAACTTGTAGTAGAAAACGACTGGCAGGCAGCACTGAAACCAGTCAAGGATATAAAGAAACACTTGTAACGTACTAGTGGCTCATGGTTTAGTCCTGTGTGTGCATATATATTTCTTTTATTTATGGAACCAAAAATAGAATACAAATGACCCAAATTTCAAACTAGATTTCTTCTTTTTATCTGTAGCTGATGGCATTTGCATCCTGAATTATTTGCTTAGTTACAGCTTGCCACATTTTAGTGACTCACAAAAATATAATGAATAAAAGCTTTTCTTTTAACTGAGGTGCATGAAAATAAAGCTAGGAATTAAATGACTGCAGAAACCACAGGTCCTGTACTCTTACTAGAGGTGAACTGCAGATCCAACTCTGAGCACCTTCTTAACAGAAGCAAGCGGAGAGGCAGTACAAGAGTAATAGTGTGTATATAAAAGAGAAAAACAAGCTGGTTCTCAGAACAGTTTTTCCCAACATGAAGACCGGAGGGAAATGTTTTCCTGCAAAAGGGACCAGGGCGATGCAAAGGCAGGGTTCTTGCGAGCTGAATCATGGTGGCCTTTATTTGACTGACTTGTACTGGTCATTTTCATGGCATTTGGTTTTGTTAATGCAAATGGGTAAACAGAGTTGTACATGGATTTTAAAAAGTCAGTCTCCTGGATTTATCCTCAGATCATCCAGACTATCTGAAGAAATAGTTGGTCTGAAGTATGTATCTTTCAGGCAGCAGTTCACAACAGGTTCCTAACTGCTTTCTGCCTCGGACCCCTTGTGGTTTCTGCTCAAAACCCTCCAATGGGGCATTTCACACGTCTCACACACAAAGTCCTTCAAAGACCTAAAGTGGTGCCAACCTCCCCCCCATCACTATCTCCTTTTGAGTCTGATGGCCTCCTACAACCACTCCCACTCCTTTCCCCCTGACCTGGCTGTCGCCCTGGGTGATTCTTGAATACATAGGCATGCTCTCGCCCCAGGGCCTTTGCACATGCTTGTCTTTCCACCTGGAATGCTATTCCCCAGATGTTGACATGGTCCAGTCCCTCACCTCCTTCAGGTTTTCACTCAGTGCCACTTTATCAGTGGGGCCTTCCCTGGCTACCCCCCCTAAAACCACCACTCGTCTCAGAATACCTCTGAAACTCGTTCCTCTGCCTGTCTTACCCTTCTCCTCCGCATGATGCATTAGCATCTGATGTACGTTATTTACTTTCTGTCTCCTATGGGCGGCATCAGCTCTATGAGGGAGGGACAGATGTTTCTTTTGTTCATAGCTGTATTTCTAGTACCTAAAATAGTGTCTGGCATAAGACAGATGCCCAATAAATACTTGTTTGAACTGGATAAGTGAATCAGAGTTTTGAGAGAGAATTAGGTGGCATAGAGTTAAAATTGAGATAATCTGCATTCAGAATTCTGAGACTACACGCTGCTTACTAAAGGGGGAAGTTCTGAGGGGTCACCTGATGGAGGTCAGGACTGACACTCTGAGGAAGCATGAAGGAGGCGAACAGGCAATGGCCACTCCTGCTGCACCCAGAAAGCGCCTGGAGGAGTACGACAGCAACTTCAGGTCACGCGAAGGAGGTCGAAAGAGAGGTGGGAAGGGAAACTCCTAAGTGACAAATTACTCAGAGTTGTGAAGAAGAAAACGTGTATATATGCAAAGGCAGGAATTACACCCACCCTGCAACAGAGGTTCCAGTCTGGATGGTTTTACCAGTAAGTCCCTTTACACCATCAAGAAATAGTAAATGTCTCTATATATTCTCTATTGTATGATCAAGTAATAAAAATGGACTTATCTCTCTTTTTCTGTGCTTTGTATAGGTTTAGATTGTTGGCATTACCTAGACACAGGTACCCCACACGTTAAAAAAAAAAAAGTCAGGCTCATCACACTAATGACTAATGACAATAATCCTAAATATAATACTAGCATATCAAATCTGGGACTGCACTAAATGAATAAAACACATGAGCTGTAGTGGATGCCATGGGGTGCAGCCAGATCCCCTCTGCTGGGTCCTGAAGTGGCTCACAGTTGGTCCTGCTATTGGAATCCCCTCTACTCCAGGGAGCTGCCTTGCTCAAGGTGATAACCTCTGCTTAGGGTGGTCCCCCATGACTGGCTGATGCAGGGACAAAGGCCAGCTGCCTTGCCTCAATTTGAGATGACTTTGAAGGGCCATCCAGCTGCAGGGCTCCCTGTGGGATGGGCTGAGGCTTCCAGTACAGCTGTGCCCCAGCCTGAGCTCTCCACCTGGTCCTAGTACCCTTATTCTCGCCCAGGCCTGGGTATTAGAACCTACCTGGAGATCTGTACACCTAAGTATTCTGACTATACACGTGGGCACATTGGAGGTACTCAATAAATGGTAATTTCATTGCACGAAGCTATAGAATTAAAAGAGCATAGGATTGTCCACAACTCCACAGAAAAGTCAACAAG